TTGCGGTGTTTGTATTTTTTCTGGTGACAAGTTGTCAGATCTGGAGTAGGCAGGTAACATACTATCAAGTGAAACCCCGAATAATTAACGGGCCTTTCTGAATGGTTTATCATCAAACGTTTCACTCCAATTTCCCACAGTGTCTTCGATTGGGTTTCGGTTGCCTTCCACGTAGTTGACAAAAAAAATTTAAACTCATACAAGATTCTAATCTACTACCCGTGGTTTTTATCCTGTCTTGATTTTAGATTTTAGATAGCCCCAAAGAGTCATTTGAAAGCAAGGCCTCGGATTGCACGACGGAAAGTGGCTATTTCGTCAATGTCCTGTTACTCTCTATGCCTCAAATGACATCTCTGCATGAAAAGACTGTGGTGAGAGCAGAAAATTCTGAGCGCACTCGGGGTTCTTTACGAAAATATGTTCAAATTATGGCGTCAGTTAAGGGTAACGAAGGTTTCAAGGCTATCGGTGGGTCATGGAAGGCTGATCTAGACGGTGCAGACCCAGCAAAAGACCCTCGGACATTAATCAACACCGCTATCCGGACGTGCAAAGAACAGTTGAAACTAGATCTTTCTTCGTGTACTCAGTGGTAAGTCAGTTTCTGAGCGTTAATAAATTGTGGTTTTGACGCTTACCCATGCTTTTTTGTTGAACCGCTCTGTGATCGCGATAGAAAATTTTGCAGGTCTAACTTGAACTGTACAGCGACTATGGCACTGATCCATAGATAAACGACAAAATTTTATCAAATGTCACCTGAATTTTTCGCGGTTTCTTAAGGATTCTGAATACGAACTGATTCTTGATAGCAGCTTCAAACAATGCACCCGACTGTTGGGACACCCACTGAGTGCGGTAAAACGCATCTTAATTGCCAATATATACTTCCATTCCCTCACACGAAATAAACTCAATCAGCGATCCGCCGGTCGTTGTTTTCACTAAGGTAATTCCGGGCATCCCGACAAGTTCTATCAATACCGTAAGCAAGGATAGGTTTTGATTCTTGTTATGTTTTCAGTGTACAACTCCTTATATGGCAGGAGTGAACTCCAGGCCTTTTAGTGACGAAATGTCGTAAAACAACATATTTCTAAGATGTGCGAATAAGCGTTTAGTGATCGCTTTTAGACTGTGTGCGATATGCAGTGTCATATGTAAATGCCCGACGACTGATGGGGTCGTTCAAACCAGTGATGTGTATATGACAAAGCCACCGATGACAACTAGTCATCGATTAGAGTTTTGTCATCGAATACAAGAATTCAGTCGAATCTTCATCACTTTTTCGCTGCTGCAACGTGATTGCAGTCCACTCCTGGAACATGTGACCAGACGGTTTATCCATTTGACTCGAATATAACGGGCGGATTCCTTTCCAATTTGCGAAACTCGATCATTGATGTCACGTGAACGAACAATCGCGCGCGATCAAGCGGGCTGCTGTCTCCAGACGTCCGCTTATCAATCTGATATCCAGCCGTTTTTGCGATGGACATTCAACCGAAGTTATTTGGACGTTCTACTCGGTTAAATAACGCACACCAACGTATCAACTAGTGGAAGGGAAGCTTTTCACTGCTCATCTTCGTCCACAGCGATGGCAACGCACAAGACATGGTTTCATTTGATTCCTGGACCTCTACCTTTCCCATAGGGCTTACTTATCTGCTATCCCTTAAGAGCTGTTATTTATTCTCAACATGATCATTTCCTCCAGTTTTGGTGGTTTTTTCTTCCGGTCCTCCAATTGGTTTGATCATTATCTACCCACCTTTCATAGGCATCGCTTCCTCGAGTTTCGCTACGGACGTACTGAGGGATCAACCGCACGCCCGACGTCTGTGCTGTTCCCTGGAGCCGATCTCTGGGGAAGGAAGTATCCTGATTCGGGAAAGGATACCGCGAGTCCAAGCAAACCCTTCCACAAGATTGTTGTGTACTTTATTCCTGATGTGTGGTCTCTGGTTCCGTCATCTTCCGACTGGCCGAAGATGAGAAAAGCTTTCGAAATACTTTCGGCCCAAGGCCAGAATCCCACATTCCCCTTGACGGCAGATCTTCAAAGACAAACCCTGGACGATTTGGTGAGGGCCAAAGCGGAAAAGTCAAGCGAAAAGACAACAGGAACCAATGGATCAAATGAAACTGACAAAGGATCGCTGGATTTCTCAAGCACAGAGGCAAATACTTCATGCGCCTTGGATCAGTCGGTCATAGGATCGCCCAAAACTTCCGACTCAAGCAATCAGGCCAAAACAAAGGAAAGCACAAATACAACAACGACGTCAACGACAACACCGGTGTGTTTCAACTGTTTTTCACAGGACTCAAGTTTCGGGATTCTTTGGAAGATACGCAGTTTCCGACTCGGTGTCTCCGTGTTGCCTATTTAGTGAACTGTAGTGTGCTTGGGAACTTATTTCTGCTTTTTATTTGTCTTTTATACGGGCTTTCTGTTTTCGTTTGTCCATTTGTAATGGTCCTGTTGTTCGTTTCAATCATACCTTGTCCGACCTTTCCAGGTAGATGCCGCGGAAAAGCCAACGCTTAAGCCGCACGAGGATCTCAATCTTCAAGCGATGAAGGTGAGATTTTCCAACACTGCCATTCAATGCGCAATTCGAACCCAAATTTACCGTGCTCTCATATTTCTGTGCATTAGGTTTCAGAGCTGCGCGAGCAACTAAAAGTTCGCAATTTACCAGCTGACGGAATTAAAGTTCAGTTGCTTAATCGATTGAAAGCCGTGATTGAAAAAGAAGCAGAAGAAGCCAGAAAAGCCGAGGAGGAACGTGAGTTCTTTACGCTACTAAATGTAACTGCTATTGAACACTTATCTCCATTCACCTAAATGGAACATTCATCGATTTCAGGCAAATTGATTTTAAAATATGCATTACTAGTTTCGATTCAGTTCATCAAAAGCTTGGTCTTGATTTTTCGCTACTAGATCGACTAGTAGCTCACCGAATTTCCACGCCACAATACTCTTGAGAACGTGCTACATACGTATTGTTTGTAGTACGACACAAACAAACGAAATATGCACCTAACCATTTGAGTGAAAGAGCGACAGGAAGGTTTGAAACACTGGAAGTAGTGTCGCACTGACAATGAAGTATTCAAGTAGATTGAAGTTGTTTAAAACTTGAATGAACACACGACCGTCATTGTTTACACTGACGCGACCTTTATGAATGATGTGAATAGCGGTGGATAGGCAAGTATAGAGAGATGGAGAAAGCTGCGGCTATTGCTAATAGTCGCAATCTTTTCCGTCTAATTAGAAATACGGGTCCTAGGAAAATGAGCGTGAGTTAATTAAGGAATCCAATGGCACGCTGATTCACGGTCAGCAACGGCGTCTTGACCGTTGAGCTGAACACTTCAAAACTCAGTTTAACTGACCCCCATCTGCACTGTCACTCTCCACTGCGACTGCGCAAATTCTGCCAGTCGATGCCAGTCCTCTATTTGAAATGGAGGTTTCTCGGAAAATAAGCTATCTCAAAAGGCCTCAGGCCCTGAATCGGAGTCCGAGCTTACGGCATGTTTTCACCCCAGTTCACCACGGAAAGTAATGTTCGACAGGGCTGCCCTCTCTCCTCTTTTCTATTCAACTTTGTTATGGATCTGATTATGGAAACAGCCCTATCCTCGTGCGAGGATAGTGAGATCGATCTACTCCCAGGCGGCAGACTGTCTGATCTAGAGTACTCAGAAGACATTGTGCTACTAAGTGAAGCTCCATGTAAGTT